TCAGTTGACATTTCATGAGATAGGAAGCCAACCGTAAATTTAGATCCGCAGTATACTGAAATTCTAGTGCAGCCGCGTCCAAGACGCCTCTTGCAGTGTACTAACGGCAACTGCTGACCGCGCCATTTGAGACCAAGTCCACGCCCTATGAATGCATTTGCATTGGGCCCTGTGTGGATGAGGCCGTCCAAAATGACCAGTCAGGTTTTATCGCTGCACGAGAAAGTTTTGGAGACATTACACTATTGCTGGTTACCGACTGTTGACATCCCCTTTCCGTCATCAAAGCCGGAACCTTCATATAACCAAAAAACTGTATCAGGTTTACCTATCTTCCTTTCTTTTTTCAGATTGGTGAGGCTAAAAGGCAATGCTTTTGAAGACTTTATTGTTTACATAGCGGTGCATCACGTACATTTGTGCACTGAAACATGTCTCTAAAACGCAGTCCTTTCTCACGGCCGTGTATTATCACGTAAACTAAGATAAAATTCACTCTTTGCTGCCTGTAATACAAGGGACTTTGCCGCACGAGGCTGCACTTTCTCGTGACACATTTTGTCTTTTGCGAGCCATGGCCGCCACACCTGTATGTCATATTTTAGATAATGTCGAACGAAGCTGTCATACACTTTATCAAAGAAGTCTTTGTCGAAATCTACAAATGCCCTTTTGATAGCGTACATCACTCTCGTGGCTTTGTTTGCAGCCTTGGCAGATTGCAACGGTGGCTTTAAATCGCTTTGTATGTGAATGCCGAGGTCTTTTTGTAAACACTCCATCTTTATGGATTCTGTCAGTCAAACCAGATGTCTGAAACTACCGTTCCTTCTTTTTTACAGGGTAAGCGAATGGAGGGTGAGTGCCTGCGAGCCAACTATCGACAGTACGGCCTCGAGCCCTACTACCTTGATGTGATCATAGCGGACGCCGCCAGCCTGGGTCGTCTGCTACGGGTGCCTGAAGAGCGGCTGCTTCTCGCGACAGCGTCCCCCACAACAGCTGTTGATGCAAATCAGAAGCAGGGGCAAGAGCAATCACAGGTGACAGCCGTCGGTCTCTTTGACGCCATCATCACGGACCCACCATACGGAGTGCGGGAGCGTAGTTGTCGAATCGCCGGACAAGCCGCGGAGAAAGAGCCGAGTTTGGTAACTCCGGAGTTCCTTGAAAAAATCACGGACGGGTACGTTTTATTCCTCCACTGCCTCCCCGCCGTTTTTAGCTTTACCAATGTAGTTTACTAGTATTATTTTACTGAAAGGCGCGCAGCTCCTCGTGTATTGATTGTATAGCATGCGCAGTCAGGCCCCCTTCCCCCTCTTTTCAATCTCCTTATTCGGAATCCTCTGAAATTGGTCCTTGTTATTAAGGCTCAACCGAGTTCACGTCTTCAGCCCACATAACCCTTAACTCAGGGAGCATATCAACATCAGGAAGGTAAGAGAAGCGAACAGCTTTGCGTTAAATTCCTGGAAGGGTGCATATTTCTGTGCCATTTAGGAAACAAATTGTTATAATACTACTTGTTATAGTTCAGTAACATGTGATCATGAAATAATTTACTGTATCGAATTCATCGCTCAGGGCTTCGGACATTCATCTTTACGTTTGCGGGCATTTGAACATTTACTGGTTTCGTTATAGCGTGCGTTTACTCGAAGAAACTACTTTACCACACACTTACAGCAGAGATCCTTAAGGTATCTGTACTGATTTGACACTTCCTTGTATTTTTGTGTTGCTTTTTTTCAAATCTCTTCGGAACTAGCGCAAAGCCCTCAAAATTGCCAGTCAGGATTCTATTCCCACACCCTACGCATCAGGAGTACTAAAGAGCATAAACGGCAACCGCGTAAGCAGTTTTATTGCAACTGGGCCAACGCTGTAACCCAATGTACGTACAACTCCCTATCGGGAGAGTACGGACGAGACCTTTCTTTTGGGGACTTGATTTGGTTTCCTGTGTAGGCAACGGATGATGCGGGGACTACTGTCCTCGGGCTTCGTTGTTTCTCGGTGCGTTATAAGTTCTAACGGTGAGGATGCTTTATATGGCCGCTTAAAAAGGACACGCGAGTAAGAGCGTCTGCCCACTCGAGATAGATTGACTTGCTGTATATTTCAGGAAGGGTAAACATTTCCGTGTCTTAACTCTAACCGAAAACAAAACGGCAACCTATCCTTAGTCTTACAGTTGACACGAGCCTAAATCTTAACCTTTAACAGAGTCCGGACCTTAACCCTAACTCTGACTTCCTAACCCATCCCTTACCCTAATTCCAAACCAAATTTTCCCGAAATTTGGCGCATATATTTTGCCACATATATTTCGCGCGGCCATTTAAGTCATCTTTGCCGTTGTAACTCGTACCTACTTCAAATGAATCGTTTTCAACTGTTTAGCTTCTGTTTCAACCTCTTTTATAGGGCACATCATCCTGTAGTCGTGAACCAGGACGGTCTGGTGCCCGTGACTCACGATCTACCCCACTTTCCACACAAGGTTTGTACCAGTTTTTGATTATTTCATGTGATTGCCAATTTTCATCGTCTTACTAATTCACACAGCTTCATTATCTCCTAATTTTAAACCCCTTTCCCATACCAAAAGCGCTTTGGTTGCACGTCGACTACGCAACCGATTCCTGCATGATAGCGCGCTAAGCCAATCGCCATTTCTTTCTCTCTTCTTGCTAGGAAGTCTATCCGCTCCAGGAGTCCTTTAGCAACCTCTTGACTATATCTGTCCGTCTGCTGAAACCGCAGGGACGTCTGGTCTTTTGGGTGCCGGTAGACCGAAATACCTACAGTGGACCGGAATCCCTCCCCTCCCATCCCCGCCTCAAACTCGTGACTGTGTGTGAACAGGTACGGCCCAGTTGAAACGTCTGCCCGAGTTTAGCTAATTGCATCATTGTCTGTATCAGAATGTAATTGCTTATCTGTAAAACTACCTGTTCTTTCATTGCCCCTCCGCGTGCAGGCCCTCAACAACCGGGTGTCACGTTTCCTCATGGTGATGGAGAAGCTACCCCCCTGTGATGCTGACTTCGATCTTACACGCGTGCGGTCCACTGAAACGGGCGACGTCTCCTGCGCAGAAAGCTGGGGCAAAGATGTGGCCTTCCACCTGGACAACTTTAGAAATGCTTATTTCAAACCGAAGAAACTCCGGAACGGATGAATTGTGCTTTTACAACGGAACACAGACTGATCCCATTTTTATACATATATGGCGCCGAAGATCAGCATATCATTTTTTGAAACTCCTTGGCTTCCTATTGCGTACAGTGATTATGCGAAGATACACAAGCGTATTTGAAATAAAGTGACTGGACGGGCCTTCAAAGATGCGTCAACAGATCGTAAAAGAAAGAGAATTGAGCGACCGGTTTCAGCAAATAACTATCATCATGCTTGCATACGTACATTTTTCCATTATTAGACCAGTGAGCCCCATATATTCATCATGTTCCCAATCTCGACCAACAAAGCAACGAGCCCGTGGTGCAATGGTTGTGCTGAATTCAATGACCCAAGGTCCTGAGTTCGAATCTCGAGTGATCCACACCTGGGATTGAGTATGACTGGCTGATGACGGCTAATAAGCCAGAAATGGCCATTC